CAGGGAGCAGTCCACTCCATAGCCTGCTAGGAGGGACAGTTACTAACCTCTAGCCACCTTCTCATCTGTTAAATGGGGGTAAGAATAGCACGAAATATATCTGGTTATTGTCATTATTGGATAAGATAAGGCGAATGAAGCACAAGGCATGGTATTCAATGTTCAATAAGCATTAGCTGCTGATTTATTTTTGATGAGACAAATCAGATAAAACAGTCAGCGTCCGGGGAGCCTTTGCAGCTGGTGCCTCGGTGCAGTGGTATGCAGGTGAGGTGGAGCCACGGGCCTGAGCTCAACTCCATGTTCAATTATTAATGGTACATGGACAGTTCATAACAACTGTTGTCACTATTCTCTCTTTTGAAAGAAAAAGGGATAACTAATAAAAGAGGCAAAGAAAGATAATACACGTGAAATATTTACGGCTGTCTGATTGCCCTTATGTTATTATTGTAATTAGGAGGCTGCAGCTCATTCAGTGATTCTTTGAAAAACATCCCTGGGAGGTCTATTAGAAAATCAAATCCATGCAAAAGTGCCCCTTCTGGAAAACTGCAGCAGAGTTTCTTGCTGAAAAGAGGTTCCTGCAGCACAGAGCACGTTTTCTTTTAGGTCCTATGAGCTCAGAACTCAAAAGACTGAAGTTCAACCCAGACTTTGTCACCAAGTGACAAGCGGTGTGACTGGCCACGTTCTGAACTAGAGGGAGCAGGTGCTTGCCATCTGAAAGGATGAGGATCATAGCATCGGTAAATATGTTTGTTTCTTGCTAAATAATCAATACACGTCCACTACGAAAATACAGACACGAGCTGACGAAAGCTCGCCTCACACATCGCCAATCTGAAAAACTGCCAGAATTTGGTATAAATCTGGTTTTAAGTAACCAGGAAACTCCCTGTCCTGGATCTCCAGGCAAGGTTTTGTGCTTTGGGGTTCTCTGAGGTCCTCATGTAAAATTGTCATATTTCCCGGTGGCTTTTGTTTTAACATGTCCTCCAAATAAACATTCCAATCCTGACATGGTAAAAAAGTAAATAAATAAAGGATGAGACAGTCATATGGTCAAAAGATAGTACTTTAGCAAGATCAGTGTTGCAATTTCCTTTAAAAGATTATTACAGTCAAGGTGTAGTGAATAAAAATCAAATCCGTATTAAATAACAATGTGAGGAAATAACACGCAGAACTCGATAGCTCTGATAAAGCATCCGAACGGCACTGGCCATGGTCGCGTGAGACAGGAAAGTTCTGCTCTGGTTCCTCAGCTTACCTCAGAGCTGCTCCCCTGCGGGAGCAGAGACCTGGGCTCCTGCCGCCCGTCGCCGGCTTCTTCTGTAGAACTGGCCTCCCTTTTGGGTTCCTCTGGATGTGCTTCCTTTATGAACCGATGTGCCGCGTCCAGGACACTGGACAATATTTGAGATTTTGCCTGTTAACAAAGGAACGAAACATGACCCTTGAGCCCAGTGTGTCCCCTTGATTAATTCATATACATTACGTCATATTTTCTTTTTTCCATGACTCCTAAAATTCAATAAATTTTATTTAGTATTTATAAAGACATTTGTATCAACCAATATAATAATGACAGCTACCATTTACTGAGGGGGCCAGTTTGGCCTCAAACTCTGCTGACCATGTTATTAAATCCTAAAGGCAACTCTGAAACAACTGCTCTCACCTCTGTTTCAGGACCAAAGAAACTGAAGCTCAGAGAGTTTAACTGACTTGCTCTTGGTCACGTGGTGAGTGGGTGACAGAGCCGGGAAGTGACCCAGGTGTATATAATTGCAATGACTCACATTGTGTTATTTTGTGCACATAATGGCTAGAGGACTAAATATAGTGACTCTCGCAGGAGCCTGAATAAGCAGGAATGAGTATTCCTTGGTGATAAAACATCTTCAGAAAGTATTCACTAGAGGCGCACACCAGGAAGTGCCTCGCTCTGTAGCTCCCTGGTCAAGTGCAAGTTGTCGCTCATTTCATGCTTTTATTCACAGAGTTTCACTTTCCGGGAGCCTCTGCCAGCCACCATCACCTCTGCCTGGCAGGTACTTCTCCTCCTGGACTCATCTCAAGTTCCTTCTGGGGGTCTAAGGACCCTCCCCCACACTCTCCAGCACCCTGAGCTGTGCGGGCGTCCACTGACTTCACCGCTCGGCGTCCCCAGTGGGCCTCTGCCTGTCCTTACTACACCCACCTGATGGGTGTCTGTCCATCCCATCAGACCACACAAGCTCACAAAACAAAACACCGTGTGTTTCTAACTTTGTATGTGGACCACAGTACCTGGAAAACAGCCCGGAGTAAAAGTAAGGGGTGGGGGCCCAGAGGAGAAGAGTTATGGAATTAGAATAAGTGAGAAAAGGGAAGTTTAAAAACACCTTTCCACCTGCCGTTAGAGCAACTACAAGGGACAGACAGATGTTTGGGAAAGTCCTGTTCTCGGAAGGGTTTTCCATCAGCAGCTACCCCGGGTGCCCAAGGACACGGCAGGATTCTGGCCCCATCTAGGCTTGGGCTAAACTCCAGGGGAAGGAAGATGTGAGATCTTGGGGGCTCTGGGAGAACTGGCCTTAGGAAGACAGGAAGCAGGTCTTACTTCCCAGCAAAGTCTACAGTATAGGAAAACTTAGCAGAGAGAAAAAATCATGACTTTGCAGTCTCCCATGAAAATGCTCCTATTTTTAAGTTTTTGTCTAGTTACCCAATTTAAACAGCAAAGATTACATTGAAACTTTCCAGTTATGACCTTTTCTGGCTCTATTAAGATTCATTGCAGTCTGATACTGGAATACATCAGTGGACATCAAATTAACTCGTGTTATTTCACACTGAATTAATAAATTACCTATGAAAAATGACAAATGTGACCTATGCAAATGTATCACTGTCTATGTACAAACCTTTATCTCCTCCAAATTTTTCCAGTGATTATCAAAATGTGCAGACAGAGGCAAGTAGTCCTCCTATTTTTAATAGAAATTCAAGCCAATCTTAACTCTCCATTTTTGCAAGAATATTTGTAGTTTCACCAATATTTTTGAAACAGAGAAAGCCAAACTAAAACAGATTTTAAACTTTCTAGAATAGAGGTCTATAGACTTCAAAGGCAGTTACAATGTTTGGTTTTTATTTTATGCTTATAAAGTATAAAAAGTAATAGTATTAATTTTATACAGAATCAGTATTCAAATATATGTTAAAGTGACAGGATTAAATGCCCTGCTACTAATGTACCAATAAGTTTTATAACATTTTTAGGTAGCTCTGTATAGACTCTGATACAGCAAAGGAATGGTTGTTGCTTAAGTTAAATTTACTGGTAAAAATAAGATAAAACATCATGGATAATTGATGAAATTGAATTTCATATTTGCATATCTGTTAATTTAGTTATATAACTGAAATAAGTTAAATGTTAATAAATGGGAATGTTCTTTCCCAGAAAATTGTACACTTTAATACTGGTTTTTTTCTATAATAAGACTGTATATGGATACGGTTACAGAATACCGGGGCTTGATTTAGAACCCAGGTCTTCTTTATCTCAGCCTCATATATTTCCCTACTGAATTCATGTTAGCCGTCACATACAGAAAAGGTGCTTTATCTTTGACTTCCTAAAACTGAAAATATTAAATTTTATCTCTAATGTGAACTTTGCTCCTTTCTTAAAAAAAAAAAAAAATACTCCCCAAACTGTAATTCTGTAAATAATTGGTTATGCAAGGTTAGACAGTTAAGTGTTTTTTAGTTTGTTTTTAACTTATTTTACCTTTTTATTTTAAATCACAGCACATAAAATGTAAGCTATAGAGCTTGCTTCTAATTCATGAATAGTAAACCCCAGGGGTACCCGCTGTTAACAGTTTGGAATATCCCTGCACCCTTCTGTCTCTACGTAGAAGGCCACATCTAGAGTTCCAACACAAACACATCACCTTTCACTCATTCTAACAACTATCATTTGAATAACGGCCAATGGACAGGAATGTGAAGGCTGTTGTCATAAAATACTTAAATAACTATGACTATTAACTATCATAACACTGAACCATGTATTAACAAAGTATTCTCCAATTTTAAAACTCAACCTAGAGACGACTTTCTTTCCATTTTCTAAATATGAAAATGCAAATACGGCAATAGTATTAGGAGCAGCAGGAGGAGGGGGCAGCAAATGGATTCAACCACCCAGTTTCTCTGCATGTTGAACATGTCTTAAAATCAAACCAAAACAGCCTTTGGGCCACGTAGTAAATCATATGTGTCACTGCAGGATAGAAGCTTAAACCAGAGTCAAAAAAAATGCGATTTACCGTCAGCATTTCGGGACTCCCCTACATCCTTCCCCGCCCTGTGCGATGGCAGGATTTCATCTGATAACTGCTCTAAATTCTCACCTGAACTTTTTTTCCACCCCTAGAATGATATTATCTTTCAAATTACACCCTAGAGGAATTCATCACGCTGACAATGTGTCATTAATCAAAGTGAAGAAGGTGGATGCTTTACAGCATATTGGAAGGACAGCACCTTGTGGGCGTCAAGGTTCAAGAATGAAAGTTGGAGTGCAGTTAGAAAAATGATGCACTTTGCGGCAGTGTCAGTGCTCCAGACTCTGACTACCACCATCATCCCAAACCCTGGCTGTGCGGGCCATCAATATTAATCATCATGGGACACGGCTGTGTCTCCTTACGGGATCCAGAAGTTCCAGCTGAGGGAGGTTCAGACACAGTTCAGACCAATGTTGCTTTGCTAGTCTGGGGGGAGGAAGCAGAATATCTCCTCTCTCAGGGTTGACGGAATATCTACTCTCTTGGTTTTCCCACAGCAGAATTTTAGAAGACACTTATTACAGTTATAATCCTAAATTAGAAACCCACAAATCTAAGCTCTGCAGACTTCTGATATTGAACTTGGATTTGCTAGACCAAATAGAGAAGTAGAGGCAGAGATACATACACGTGCCTGCACACAGAAAGCCTGTTACGGCAGGACGCAAGACGTAAATTCAGTTCACAAGTCTCAGGGACTGTGCAGCGTGGTCAGCACCTGGATAGCTTTATTTCCAAAGGATCAAGTTACGTACGAATGGGATTTTAAAATTGTGATATGCACGCTGGCATATACAAAATTCTTTTTTTGACCTTGCTTTGAGAAAACACTCCTCTCTCCGAGTGGCACTCTATTCCTTGGTACGGTTTGTTCTGGTTCCTTTGATGTGAATTACCTCATGTGGTTGGTTAATGGGGGAAGGACATCACTATAACTCCAGAGTTTCACTGAATCTTTGGTTTTCCTTTTCTAATACATTTACTATTTTGAAACAACCAGGGGTCAGCTTCCTTAATTAAAGATCAAACCAGCAATATCTGGAGACTGGAGGCCAGAATGACGACCACCTGTGGAAACGTCTCCCCCAAGGCACGTCTCACAGTGTCAGTGGCTTGGTAACTGTGCATCCCACTAAATGGAAAACTAAAAATAAAACTTAAAAAACTCTGAGTGTAGATAATGAAGGTGTAAAGGATTCATTCTGATCTAGACAACGGATTAGATAAAGGAGGCTTTGCCTTGATTCAGATTTTTCGTTTTGATGTAATCATCTCTGTTAGGAGCAAATTGCCAGGATCGCTGTCCCCAAGAGGGAGGGACAGGTCCTCCAGACACACAGTAGGGGTTTGTTCTGTTCTGTTCTGTTTCATGCTTCATGTTTATGGGAATGTTTTTACTCTTCTTCTGTAGCATAGGACAATCACATTGTAACTGTGTCTTTTTTCCCTAAGAGTAACTTTCAGATCAAATTTGGAATTGGCCAGTAGGAATGTAAATGGAACATTTATTTCTACTAGACACAGAATTACATTTTAATCAACAGAACTGGGAGTGAGGACTCGTAGATTTTTCATGCCAACCCTGATTGCTCCTTGAGCCTTGTGAATTAGTCAAACGACTTTCCTGAATAGGAAATTTTTCAATAATCCTACATCATGTTATGGTAGCAACACATATACACTGGCGAATCACGCTTTTGTTTATCATAAAATAAACATTTTTTATTAAAAGCCATCAAAATATTTATTCTAGATTTACTTATCCAAACAAGCTTCTAAGGATAATTTCGCCAGCATATTTCTATCTATACAATATATTGAATATACTGCATTATTACAGTATGAGGATTGTGTTATCTAAATTAACAATAACAAATTAGACAAAATATCTGAGTTGGGAGCATCAAGGAAAAGAAGAAATACCAGCTACAAGCAGACAAATTCCTCTAATTATGTACCGAAGACAAGATGCAACAAGCTCATTAAATTTCCACTTAGTGAAAAGATCCTTGCAAAGTGGAAGCAACTTCTAAAAATATGTAATGTTGAATACCCTAATCCATTAAACCGGAATGAAAAAGAT